ACCTTTAATCCCCAAATCCACCCTCCAAGGGGGTTCACAGGAGCGTCTTCTGGCCCTGGGCAGCCCACCACCCCAGCCTCCTCGCCCACACCCCCAACCCGTGGGGATGCAGCCCTTCGGCCTTTAGTGCAAGGGGAGCGTGTCCCGGGGGGCCCCGGGCCCCTGGGAGCCCGGAGTGGCTAGCTCCCGTTCTTCCCTCTCCTCTCTCTGCATCTCCCGCCTCCGCCCTATGCCCAGGGCCCCCACAGCACAGATATAGACAGCCTCGTCCTCGGCCTGCAGCCCAGCGATGCTCAAATACCCTGTGTTCTTGGCCAGGTCTTTGGAGCCAGAGAAGCGAGGGGGGACGTTGGGGCCCTGCCTCTTGTCCGAGTGGGAGAAATATCTCAGCAGGAATCTCGGGGGGTGGCCAGGCTTCTGCTGGTACCAGTAGATGCTGTGGAGGCCGATGTCGTGGTCGCTGCGCACAGTGCAGGCCAGGCGGACGGTGTCTCCCAGGAACGAGGCCATGGAAGGTGGCTGACTCAGCACAGGCTGAGGGCTGCATCCTGGGGACACAGAGGCGGGTGGGCACCGGGACAGAGCAGGGCGTGGGAAGGGGCCGGGAGCCGCGAGCTCTGGGGCTTCTCACCTGTGCAGTGGACCAGGAGCCCCAGGAGGACGAGGACCCAGGACATCGTGCGGCGGAGCAGAGGTCTGCCCCCAGTGTGCGCAGAGCCCCCGGGTCCTCGCAGGGCAGGGCCAGCCTCCCCCCCGCCCTCCTCCCCACCTCCCAGAGGTGGGGCCTTGGCACGCCTGGCTCCCTCCCAGTGGCCATCCCAAACTTCCCTGGGTTTGTGATGCCGGTCGGGGGGAGCGGCCATGTGCTGGCCCTTGTGGCTCCTGCCTTAACCCAGGGGAAGCGTTGATGGAGGAAGCACCTGCATGGGGCTCACAGACCAGTGCCCAGGAGGCCAGGAGGCCCTGAAGGGGCGACTCCGCATCCCCCAAAGGGAGCTGAGCACCTCGGAGTAAGCTTCTGGTGCACACTTGTGTGTGGGGGGAGCCGGGAAGAGGGGACAGGTCCTCATGGTGGGCAACACCTGCTGGGGGCTGCAGAAGGTGTAGGGGCCCTGGGTGAGGGTCCGCTCCGTCCCCTCCCATGCCCCTAGCATGCCCCGCCGCCTCCAGACCCAGCCGCTGTCCCCCTGGAGTGAACCCGGAGTGACTAGCAGCTCCTGAAAAGGAAGCATCTGGACGGGCTTTCAGGAGGGGGCAGAGGTAGCCTCAGCCACTCCAGCTCTGTCCCAGGCCTCTGCCCCTTGTCCTCATGGGGTCTCCCCAGGGAGTGGGGGAGGAGGCGTCTGTGAGCTTGGTGGCCCTGGGGGTCCACTCCTGCCCGTGGGTCCTTGGGTCCATAAATGAGATGCTGTGCGTGGACCACGGTGTGTATAGTAGAGAAACGGCTACTCCTTGTCCCTGGTTCCTGGGAGGCAGCCTCTAAATCCAGCGCTTGTTATTCAGGGGGGCCCCTGAGTTTATACTAATGGGTGATTCGTGAAGGATGCTGGCCATGAGGAAAGCCCCACCCAGCGATGGGACGATGCGAGCTTTGAGCTGAGCTCCCAGGACGGGGAGGGGTCTGGAGACCGAGTCCATCACAGAGCCAGTGGTCCCCGCAACTGTCCTGAGGAATGTAATCCCAGTGGCCACCGAGATTCAGGTGAGCCTCCCAGGCCATTTGGTCAGAAATATAGGTGGACTGGGGATAGCTGAGTTTGTAGCTGGTGTCTGAAATGAGGGATGGGTTTTTTTTTGGGGGGGGGGTCGCGTCCTTAATTTGTGCAAGTTGCCCTAAACTCCACGTAGCCAGGGTCAGAATCAGATGGTAGGATTTCCTTGATGGTCCAGTGGTTAGGAACTCACCTGCCAGTACAAAGGACAAGGGCTCGGTCCCTGGTGTGTGAAGGTTCCACACGCCCTGGGGCTGTTGTAGCCACGCGTTGTTCTGGGAAACAAACTCACCCAGAAGGACAACGCAGATAGTGGAGTGCAGTTTATTACACCGGCGGGCCCAAGGCAGAGTCTCCTCTTAGCCAAGGACCCTGGCTACTCCTTGTCCCTGGTTCCTGGGAGGCAGCCTCTAAATCCAGCGCTTGTTATTCAGGGGGGCCCCTGAGTTTATACTAATGGGTGATTCGTGAAGGATGCTGGCCATGAGGAAAGCCCCACCCAGCGATGGGACGATGCGAGCTTTGAGCTGAGCTCCCAGGACGGGGAGGGGTCTGGAGACCGAGTCCATCAGAGAGCCAGTGGTCCCCGCAACTGTCCTGAGGAATGTAATCCCAGTGGCCACCGAGGTTCAGGTGAGCCTCCCAGGCCATTTGGTCAGAAATATAGGTGGACTGGGGATAGCTGAGTTTGTAGCTGGTGTCTGAAATGAGGGATGGGTTTTTTTTTGGGGGGGGGGGTCGCGTCCTTAATTTGTGCAAGTTGCCCTAAACTCCACGTAGCCAGGGTCAGAATCAGATGGTAGGATTTCCTTGATGGTCCAGTGGTTAGGAACTCACCTGCCAGTACAAAGGACAAGGGCTCGGTCCCTGGTGTGTGAAGGTTCCACACGCCCTGGGGCTGTTGTAGCCACGCGTTGTTCTGGGAAACAAACTCACCCAGAAGGACAACGCAGATAGTGGAGTGCAGTTTATTACACCGGCGGGCCCAAGGCAGAGTCTCCTCTTAGCCAAGGACCCGGATCAGTGTTTGTGAAAACCTTGTATACCCTGAGTGTATAAGGTTTCCTGAAACTAGTCTGAATAAAGGAAAAAGAAAGACACAATCAAAGTTAACCCGTGATCATATGCCTTAAGCCTAGGTAGTTAACAGTGGACAATTATCAATAGGCCTGTGGTCATACCCCAATAAGCATAACAGCATGTATGATTCTATTCGGTTACACAGATAATTAGGGTACTCTTTTAGGCATGGAGAGCCCTGGGGCTCCTCCTTCCGGGGGGCTGGTTTTTCCGTTGGTGTGTCGTTTCCATAGATACTGGGCATATAGCTCCAAGTCCACAGTCCGGCCCAAGATGAGTCCTGCTTTCAAGATGGAGCCTGTTCTGTTTCCTCCTTCAGGGCAACTAAAGCCACAGCGCCACAGCTACTGCGCCGCAACCACTGAAGGCGGAGGCCACTGCAAGAAGCCTGGGCAAGGCAGCCAAGGGGCACCCTCCACCCCCGCAACTAGAGAGGCCCTGCACCGCCAAGAGAGCACAACCAAAAATAAACAAACTGTACACATTCTCCTTAAAGAAAGGTGTTAAAATAAAGCCACGAAAATTCTTTTAAATCTCCCATAAACCCATTACTCTAACACAAAAGGTTGTTTTTATTTTCCAGATAGGTTTTACATTAGCTCACCCACGCATTCCACAATGTTTACAGCATTCAAAGAAGCCTGCTATACACGCATCGGTAGTTTTTAGTTTATTAGTAGTAGATACGTCTTCATGCTTATCATCCAGTTTTCCTCCTTGTAGGTAATTGTCATTATTGCCTCCCCGCGGCGGGGGAAGAATGAGATGGAAGGTTTTGGAGGGGAACCCCTGTGACCCCGCGTGCTAGGGCCGACTGGAGGATCCGCCCCGGAACTCCGGAGCTTCAGAACCCACATGTGCCAGCGTGCGGCGCCGGAGGGCGGGGGAGGGGGAAGGGACAGGGGAACGCTGTCCGGGCACGGACCCGGAAGCAGATATCGACAGATCCGGAAGCAGATGGAGACTGACCCGGAAGCAGATGGCGGTGGGCCTCCAGGAGCGGGAGGCTGGACGCAGGTGAGTGGCAGGGCGCTCTGCGATTTGGGGCGCGGGTCCAGCCCCGTGGCTGGGCGCCGGTGCCGGGCCGGCTCAACAGTCTCGGCTCCTCCTCCCGGGCGGGCGGGTTCGGGGAGCGTCCAGAAGGAGCGGGCGCTGGGGCCGGAGCCCCTCTGCACCGAGCTGGGTCTGCGTCGCGGGTGGGGACTGAGCCGGCGTCGGGCGGGGTTGGGGTCCAGGCTCCGCCCCTGGCCCGGCCAGGCCTGTTCCAGTCCGGAGGGCGCCCGGGGTGTACAGGAGGGCGGGGGCGCGGTCTGAGCAGATTCGCTGGAATCCTGAGCGCTGCTTTCTCCCGGCGGCCTCGTCTGGCTTCGCTGTCGCTCGAGAAGGGAACGTGAGGAGTCAGCCCAGCGCGGGCTTGGTGGTCAGCGAGCCGGGGGTCCCGATAGCCTTGGCAAAGGTCTGACACAAGTCTCAGATGTTCTGAACCTCAGTCTCAGTTCAGATCAGTTCAGATCAGTTGCTCAGTCGTGTCTGACTCTTCGCGACCCCATGGACTGCCGCACGCCAGGCCTCCCTGTCCATCGCCAACTCCCGAAGTTTACTCAAACTCATGTCCATCGAGTCGACGATGCTATCCAACCATCTCCTCTGTCGTCCCCTTCTCCTCCTGCCTTCAATGTTTCTCAGCATCAG